TAACACGCCTATCTTAAAAACCACAATTATGAATGATTATTAAAATTTGAGAAACTACAAAAACACCTTTTATTAAAAATAAATAACTTGACCCCTGCATTTTTGTAATTATAATTTCAGGATTGAGGTACTTACCGTCCGGGCGAGATGCGGAGTACTTTTCTTGTCCTTTCTTTTCAGGGTGGTATCCATCACCATCAGGTTGGCAGCAACCCACAGTAAATTGCATGCTTGGTTGGGAAGGAGATCACATGCATTGATTAGATTACTAATTTTTCTACATTATATCCTCCCGGGTGTTTGTATACTGGCGGCGGGGCTGGCAACATGGAGAAAATTTTGCCCCGAGCGACTGTTCAGCAACAGGCGGTTCTACGGTGCTCTCTATGGCACTCGACTGCTCATAGATGCACTGATGATCGCAGGTGTGATTACTTGTTTCAGTGAGTTGCTAGAGGTGCCCACCAGTGGTACGTGTACTCTTTTTTTACTTCTACGGCCTCATGTTTGCAGTCGACGCCTTTGTTGGCCACATGCTTACGAAGTGCCAAAATCACATCTTTTCTGGTACGTTTGTTTTTATTTATATTAATCATCTGTTTTTGCATCCCATTTTTTACTCCATCCTCAATTATTTCAATTTTTCAAATTTTCAGGCCTTACTATGCTATTTGTGTTTGGCCTTAAGAAGAAGCTACACTGGGGGGAGAGTGGGCTGCCAATACGGTCATGAGGTGTTTGCAGGATTTCTATGACGCCTTCCTACACAGAAGGCTGATGGATTATTCAGACAAGGTGATGTCTCTTTAATTATTTGTTTTTTCAACTTTCAATATGTTATATAAATAAACAAATAAGAGCAAAGAAATATTAATATTAATATCTTGCAGTATGGTTGGACTAGAGCACCTGTACTTGATGCTCCTGCTAGAGGTGCCTAGGCTGCTGGTGAAGATGACCAGGGTGCTGGTGGAGATGACCAGGGTGTTGAACTTGGTGTTGTTGAGGGACTTGGTGTCTGATGTTCGGATATGTTCTGTTTTTATTAGAGATATTAGTGCACTAGTTATGAAAAGGTTGTGCGAGACTATTTTTACTGCATGTTTTGTTTTTGGAGTGTGATGCACTATTTTTACGGCATGTTTTGGGAATTTTTAGATTTAAAAGTTTTTTTTTTTTTACAAAATCGGTACACACATACGTGCTCTATTGCGAATTTATTATTCCATAAGGATTCTTAGTCAGATCGGATTTTGCTGAGGATAATTGTGATGATTTTTTCTAAAAAATTGTGGTAATTTTGTAGTTTGCAAATGAAATCCGAAAGATTTCATCTGGTCCAAAAACAGGTTATGAAGCACATGATGTTAAAATCTTCTGGATTGCAATGCGGCTATCAAAAGATGAATATGTAGAAATCTTATCTAGATTGCAAGAAACTATAACATTGCCCAATGGAACCCCAGCATCCGCGATTTCAAGAAACTATAACATTGCCCTGTGGAACTCCAAAATCCAAGATTTCAAGAAACTACCTTTATCCTTTTAGTGCAACGGCCTCATAATGCTAAAGTACAAGGAGGTGATGTTGGAGCCGGTTTAGATTCCAAGACTCGTAATTTGAAGGTTTTTTTAGATACAAAGGTATTGTGCCTGCAAATATTATGTACCATAACCTTTTGAGCATGGTGTACACGAACAAAACATTTTGTTGGTGGGCTCAAGATAGAAATGTCGAGGTGATTCTTTCACTCGATATGGGTAAGAAGACATTTCAAAAGACGTCATTGCCATCTAATATCGATGTTTTAGGAGGACAGCATAAAACTCTACTCGAGCAAATTATGCCTCTGAATGAATCACTTGCGATTGTCGTGTATCATCCTCAAGAACTCAACAATGCTTTTTGATGTGTGGCTGGTTATGAATGAAATCAGAGGGGATGATGACTCTTGGAGTAAGGTAACAACTAACAAGTATCGGTCCTCTTTCAAAATTCGAGCAGGTGGTAGGATTTTGGAACAACAATGATATCATTTTCGGGAGTAATCCGGAGAATTGATGGTATATATAATCTTGTCGATGAAGACATAAAAAACCTAAAATTTATGATAAACGAAGTAGATTGGAGGTAAGTATGTAGTTATTATATATTGTAATTTTTTCCTTTTCTTTCTTGACAAATGAGCTAGTTGTGACTACTGTATATTGATAGAAGTCTTCTTGTGCAGTTCATTAACTAAATAGCTGTACTTCATATATTAAGAAGTGAACCAAATGCTATCTTTGTTACCGATGATATTTTGCACTCACTCTCTCCATACCCAACTATTAATTGCATACTTTGCATTTTTTCTTTAGAAAGTATGAATGATAAAAATAACAAAATTGATGGAAATGTGCAAGGCATTTGAAAATACAATATAAAATAAGACTGCAGTTTTGTTGATAAAATATGGTGGTCTAATCATTACAAGTTTTAACAAGAAAATTTGTGTTCTTAAAGACAGTTGCTTTGAATCACAATCAAGCTTTCTTGCTTCTTTCATTAGAAAACATCTTACCCCAAATAAGACTAGAGAGTCCTTAAGGCTTATCCATCAACCTTCCAATACTGGGCCTTAGTCCAAGCCTGAGCCCGTATTACAATATTGTGCCTTAGTCCAAGCCCGAGCCCGTGCAAGAAGTGAACGAGCTTTCTTGGTTTGTTTTGGGCTTCAAGAACATATAGATAGCTTTATACATCCAATATTATAGTCTTCTATGGAACTTGAAGCTCAAGGGGTTTCTCCTTGTTAGGTGCACTCGCAAGTTTGTATAGATGTTATGAAGGGATATAATGTCAAGCTTCTACCTAAAAAAGTGTAGCAAAATGCTATTAAATATGGGACATGTGATGAGATTAGTGATATATTTTACTTTTGACATTGAATTTAGGACTTCATTTCGTTGATTGATGTTTGGATATAAGATTTTTTTTTCGGATTTTTTTTTTGTATGGTTAATTTTGAAAAAGAAATAGTATTGTTATTTATTAGTGAGATTTTGAGTTTATATTAAAATTAATATTTAAATAAAAATAATTAAAGTTGATTTGACGTAACAGTACGAGAGAGATGATGTGAAGTGATGAATAATTAAAATTATATGAATATATGAATAGTGAATTATAGTTATTGTGATGTGTAATAATGATTTAGTCGTATTATTTAATTATATTGTAAATAGTGGAATTGAACTAAACTTCAATTTTAAAAAAAAAAAATGATTAGATAAAAATAATTGAATTTTTCTTTTAGAACATTTGTATACGAGCTTGCTAAGAATGCGACTCAATGAGATTGTAATTCCTAGAATTGTACTAAAAAAAAAACTATGAAAATATTATAATGTGATTAATTTCCTTTTGTATTTTGTACATGTATAATTTTTTTGCTCCAACCATGTTTGGTGGTGATATTCTTCCCCAATAAACATCACATATTATGTTATTCTTTCATCTCAATTTCATCTACTTTTCCCAATAAAATATTATTTAAAGACACTACTTGGCTACAATTAAGGAAAGAAAATTTAGGCAGCCATATCCTCATAATCTATATCCACATTTTTTTTGGAGATGTTACTATTTTTGTCAATTTAATTGATGAAATTCAAAGATTTCACATTTTCTGTTTTCCACACACCCATAACAGGAAATTTCATAAATGATGCTTCAATGATCATACTTATCAAGAATTTCAAAATTTGGTCACTCATTAACTTGAATGGAAATCAGATAATTGAATTGCTAATACAATTTGTCCACCAAGAAAAAAAGATACAATTTTGAGAGAAAATACATTTCTACAACCTAACATCTAATAAATATCAATTCTTTTTTTTTTTAATTGCTAATAAAATTTGTCCACCAATAAAAAGATGCAACTTTGAGCAGAAAATAGGTACTCCCTCCTATTTTTTTTTTTTAAATGTCATTTTAATTTTATCAACTATTAACCAAATAAATGTTGTTTTGGATCTTTTGTACATATTTTTCCATTATTCGCTCATCACTTTTTCTCAAACATTCATATCAATTTTAATTAAATAAAGTTATTATTGACAAAAAAAATATTTTTAATTAATATGCAACTTCTAAAAAAGGACATATATTAAAGATAGGAGGTAATATATGCAACCTAACATCCAATAAATCATTAAATCCTAAAATAATTACAATTTTGAGCAGAAAATACATGTATGCAACCTAAAAAAATCCAATAGAATCCCAATTTTTTTTACCATCTCAAGAAAACTCATTTGTTCCAAAAGAGTGGATCCCTCCATTTTAAACTAACAAACAATAATGCAATAATTGATTTTTACTTTCCCCAAGTTACCTCACATTTAATATTTCACTTCTGTATGCTTCCCATCTTGGTCAAGTTCCTCCCTCCATATAAAAAAAGTTAAAAACTTTAAAATGAGAACAAAAAGAAAAAAGAAAAATAAGGAAAAGCTAACTAAAGATCTGAAGTTCATTTTAGCTCCACTCAAGAGAGAGAGAGATCTCAATAGTTCACAAAAGCTACTCATCATTTTCTTCTTGGGTTTGCTTTTTTTAATCTGAAGTTGCTAACTTTAGCTCATTTTATTCCTCGGACCAGTCTCCTTCCCCTTTCTTCTTTAGGGTTTTATCCTCAGTTACTGTTAAAATACTTCAAGATCTGCTTCACCTCTTGATTTCATTCAACCCCTTGTCAAGTTTTCAGTTGCCCAGTTTAGTTTTTCTCTGGAAAAAGCATTTTAACTTCAAAGGGAGAAACTTTACTGGTTGAGGGTCATGTGTGGGTTTGGATGACAAATTGGCTCTTTTTTTGTTGGTTTTGGGGGTGGGTGGGGTGGGGGGTGGGTGTTGGAGCTGGGTTTGTGTTAACAGTGTTTTTATTTCTTGATACTCTTTAGTACTGGTCAACTAGCACAAATTTTCTCTTGGAGAACTGTGTTTGTGTGCAGATATGAGGTTATCTTCTTCCTCTCCAAGTCCTGGATTTAATGGTGAGACTGAGGAAGGTATGCTCCGTTTTCAAACTTTAGTCCATGTTATGTAATATTTTTTAATTTAAGCACTGCATAAGGAATTCTTGGTTTCTTTTTGTTCTTTTTGCTTGTCTGTATATGTAGTTTAGGTATTTTTGTCCTTGTATTTGAGTAAATTATTATTTACAAAATTTTTCTTTCATTTTCTGAGTTCTAGGAGAGAAGAAATGCTTGAACTCAGAGCTGTGGCATGCTTGTGCCGGCCCACTCGTTTCACTCCCACAAATCGGAAGTCGAGTGGTGTATTTTCCTCAAGGCCACAGCGAGCAGGTTTCTGCCAAAAAAAAAAAATCTTAATTTCGACTTATGTTTAAGTTTGATTCAGTACTTTGTTTTAGCTGGTTATTGTGTTGCTGTTAATTCTCATTAAGTGAATACCTGTAGTATGCAGAACAGATTATGCCACTGAAATTGACATTCAGTTTTTTCCTTATTCTTTTTCTTCATTTTCTTCCCTTTTTGTTTATATGTTCGTGCGCATGGCAGCAGTTAATTCTTATTGCATAATGGGTATTTTTTCGATTAGGAAATTTTACAGACCGGTTCCTTTCCGGGCTATGGTCTGGATTATGAAGCTAATTTATTCTAAGGTTAAATTTGAATATGTTGTGTAGATACTCAATGATTTGTTTACAGGTTGCTGCTTCTACCAATAAGGAAGTAGATTCTACCATTCCTAACTATCCCGGTTTACAGCCACAACTTATTTGCCAGCTTCACAATGTTACTATGCATGTAAGTTGCAACAATTTTGTTCTCTGAAAAGAAAAAAGAAAATAATCTGTCAAATTAACAAATTGGCCTAACATCTTCAAATTCACAGGCAGATGTTGAAACGGATGAAGTGTATGCTCAGATGACTTTGCAACCACTTACTCCTGTACTTTTCTCATACTCTTCGTATATTGATGATATATTTTATGCAGTAATTGTTGGTGTATATATATATATATATATATTTAAGCAACTGATTTATGGTTTATATATTCATTAGCAAGAGCAAAAGGACATATGCCTACAACCATCTGAACTTGGGGCAGCAAGCAAACAGCCAACTAATTATTTCTGTAAAACATTAACTGCTAGTGACACGAGCACTCATGGAGGATTTTCAGTCCCTCGACGAGCAGCCGAGAAAGTTTTCCCGCCTCTTGTATGTTTCTGTACTTTGTTTTACTGGAATTCGACCATGCAGTTTTCTTTTTTTTTTTTTGGGTTAAAATTGCTAAGT